GCGATACTTGTATAGTAGAAGCATCGATTAAAGCCTTGAGAATTTCAGCGCCGCGTGAGATCGCGAGAAGATACGTTCAATAATAACCGTGTGATTATGGAAAATTACATGTTTGCGTTTGAGGGGGCAAATAATAGGCGACGCGTCTGTTGTCGCTCCGGCGACTACAATCGAGCATGAATTAAGTAAAAAACTGCTCAATCATCGATATACCAGTTTCTTTTGTAATCATGGAGAGAGAGAGAGAGGGGATGGGAAGAGGGAGAGAAATGATAAGAGTTGTCCTACTTCCACCGCGTATAAAAAAAATACAATGAAAAATACAAAATGTTCAATTCTAGTTAGAAAGGTTAGAAAGTTTTTTGTTTCATTTCGGAAATATTTAAAAGTTTAATTTAAATTGAAGAAAAAATCTTAAAAAATTATTTTTTAACTACTACACACGAAATAATAATAAAAAATAAAAATAATAATAAAGATATTATTAATAAAATATATTATTATTATTAAGTACGTGCACATGTTTTCAAGACATCCTGTTTACAATTGTGATATTATCATAAAAGTAAATCTCGGAAATGGTCTTAAAACGTGCACAAAACTCGATTTTGTCGCGTATTACGTCGCAATTTCGTCACCGTAAACGAAAACGGACACCGGACTGTCTTTCAACGTCCGGTCCAGTGATTCGCCGCGCTACGCCGCGTTGTTGTGAGGCCGGTTCAAATTTCTGGCATCTCTGGTTTCGTCTTCTTAGGAGACGCCGGGCTACAGAGCCGCTTACTTAGCATATACGGCGCGCGCGCGCGGCCACAAAGGGTTCCTTTCCAGGAAGATGCTTCGAAAACTGCCGCCGGTCTACAAAGTCGTCTCTTTATCTTTCCCGCGTGGCGGCTTGGTCTCTATGTCTGACCTCGCTTCAACGTTACCTCATCGCCGGGAATCCTAATTAGGCTTTGTGGTTACCCATATTCGACTCCCTCGTGTAACACGTAATCCGCGTATTGCGACACATTGGAGCAGAAAAAGTCAGGAAACGACAAGAAAAGAGATGTCGGGACGGTGTATTATTCGTTTCAGATTGAAAGTTTCTCGAGAGTTCTGAGTAAAATTTAGAATTGATACATGCGTGGTTTTTATTAAGTAAAAACCGTGACAGATGTTCTATCAAGTGAAAAAAAGAAGTAATTTACGCTTTTTTGAAGCTATACGTTCGATGATAGCATATTTTTGAAAACATGGTTTTTGTAAAGAATCTTTTAGAACTTTTAAAATATTGTTAAAATTTTTTTTGATGAGTTTTTCAAAAATTAATTTTTTTCGGGAATGGCATTAAGAGTATTAATTTAATGCATGTTGCTTGCCATATGTTTTTGCGCGCAATCCGAAAATATGCATTTGCAAAGCGTGAAGTCGTCGCTTTTATAAGCGAGGTAATTACAATATAATAATAACAGCTTTAACGACGGCGTAGCGTTTTGCCGGTGAATCATTGGCGCCGTTCCGGCTGTTCAAAAATTTTCGTTCGTGCATCTTACGTAATTAAGCTAGGTAAAATGCGCCGCGAGATAACAGCTATTAATCACAGCAAATCGCGTCGTTTTCCGAGAGGAAGAAAATACACACACACAGAGAGAAAGAGAGAGAGTCAGATTTAAGTGCAAAATATTAACATATTATGACCATTGCAAAGTTACTTTTAGTTAAAGCAGATGATAAGTGGATTATGTAACTTATTACAACGGAAAGCATACTATAAAAATTTAAAATTATGACCTCATGGCTTAACTTTTTATATAATTGTTGTTGAAAAATAGCGATGCATAATGTACACAATAATTACGACAAAATGTCGATTATTCCAACAATCGTGATACAATCTAATTTTTTGATTCCGTCTCCATTGAACGTTTGCCACCGCGATAGCAATTTGTAGCCGCGGAGAACAACGAGAGAGAGAAAGAGAGAGTTCGCCGTTGCAAACGAGAACAATAGAGCTTGTGGGAGGGGAGAAGCAACACGATAGCGGGGAATTCCTGTTGGATCCGCGCGCGGAATCGTAAACGATCGTGCGAGTGCAGCCGAATGAGGGCGAGTTTGGTAGGTAGGTTGCTGCGCGCTCGTCTTTCTCCGTCTTCGTCCCGGCTCGAAGTGCATCGGCGTGTCTGTGCTTTGGAATGCGCCGCCGCCGCCGCTGTTACAACAAGAAGAAAGCGATTCGATTCCACCGTCGTGGCGGCGAGGGGAAGACACTCGACGGGAAAGTTCTCGCGCGAGCCGAAGAAGGGAAGACTCGACTCTCGAGGAAGAGCCCTTTGGAGGGGGAGTTTTTGCGAGAGGAAGAGGGAGAAAGTGTGAAAGGGAGCGACCGCGAGGGGGCCGAAGGGCAAGGAGAATGGAGACTGCATATGATGTAGAAGTAGTAAACCAGTCGTAGAATGCTATTGCTTACGTGCATCTAATACGTTGTTGCGTGCGACAACGACGTTAGAAGCGCGCGTCGTCGTATTGCAGCGCGACTAGAATCTTTCAAGTTGTAGAATTACTGGAAAAAAAACTTTATTAATTATTTTTTTCTTTTTACGTAAATTTTTTCTTAATATCGCCACTGTAAAAATTCGTACGTGTAAATTTAATTTTTATAAATAAAAGGTATAAGGAAATAAATTTAGAATATAGAGAAATTAAATTAAGATAATTTTAGATTGAATAAAAATTGATGTTTATTTGTTTTTACGTACATGTTATATTTAGCGAAACAAGTTTGTCAAGATTCGCGTGTTCACAGTCGCGGCATTTTGCTTGGTCGATTATTTGAGAGCGCAGTTGTGACCCTGCTTCGCAGAAACGAGTTCAGCAGGTGGGGTCACGAACTCAGACACGCGATCGTGCGTTGCAGCGAATTTTCCTCTCTTTCGATCGCCAGCTGCCGGCATTATTTCGCCCTTCTCATCTTGTAGTTGTATGTATATCGATCCCACTAGATATCGTCACCCCATTCGAACGCGACCACAGCTGTTGTACCACAAATTTTTCGTAACAAGCGTGGAAGTGTGGAATAATACATAGATGAATGAATTATAAAACAAAAACACTCTAGAGAGAATCGGCGAGAGTTGAAAGAGATCAAAATAAAAAATAAGAATGTTTTCTCATCAATTTTTAAATTGGGAATTTCTAAATAAAAATTTATATATTTAGAAAAGATGCATAAAAATATTTTCGACTTGAAATTATTGATAAAAATACACGCGCGACGTGTACAAGTTAGCTAACCGAGAATGAAATTTACGAGTTGTTCGAGGAAGAGAAAAGAATCGGCATAAATTATTACCTGCGCGAAACACCGCTGGCGAGCGCGCGGCCTTGGCCTGTGTCGGCTTTTGCAGAGCGGTTCGGCTATAACGAGATTTCGGCACGTGCGTCGGAACTTGGGTCGAGTGGACCGTAGGAACGACGTATTCGAGAACCGTCTTTTGATCCGGTAATCTACGCGCCAACCTTCTTTATGAAGAGGATCCTTTTTTATTCCGTCCTCTCTCGAGAAAGCAAAAGTTGGCATTCTTGATCTTCCGCTACTCGACGTGAGAAACACGTAAAGCAATTAATATCTCGGAAATGCGAATACAAATCTCTTAATCGTTTTGTTTTATTTGCAAATGTTATTTGTATATACATATATATACGAGAAGGACATTTTCTTCTTGAATTTTCTCTATGAGATATTGTCGCTGTATTCAATATGAATCAAGTCATTTCGAGAATGTGTAGCACGACTGTTCTAATATGAAAGTGAAATTGTCACGACACAAGGTCTTTCATTTCTTTTTGTGTGTGTTCACAACGTGTACTCGTGCAAAGATTTTATCTTAAATAGATTCGTCGCCGCGCGGTTGTTTTCCTTATCTGGTGTAGACTATAGACAAAGAGTAAATGGAAACTTCACAGTTGAGGCAGCTTTGAAGTATTTGTAAATTGCAAAAACAAATTTCTACATTAGCATTTTTATTTGTTATTTCTTATTAACTTTTCGCTTTTTATGAAAAAAAAAAAAAACAGTTTTACATTTTAGAAAATCACATGTGAATGCGCAAAAAAAACAAATGAAACATATGCAGCTCGTTGCGCAGAAATCGCTCGATTCGCTCGAAGCGCCTTGACTGGTATCTAATTAACGCCCGAAACGAGCATCTCCCGGGGGGATAATCGGGAATGATTTTTTTATTTTGTTTTTGAACACAACGAGAGAGAGAGAGAGAGAGAGAGAGAGAGACGCGACGTGTGGAGAGGAACCGGCTGCTCGGAGAAAGGCCGAGACGAGACGGACATCGTTCGTGTACTTACGCAGGAGCCAACACACACGCGCGGGGCATCTGTTCGTTAACCACCTGTCGGCAGGTGCGAGCCGTACACCCGGCCCGCACTCGGTATCAATCGGCCCTGCTGTTTTTTCGGCCGGTTTGTTCTTCGAAATCGCGTTCCCGTTTTACTACGTCGTAGTACGCACGGACACGCGATATTCCTTCGCCGGATGTTATCGACTCGTGGACGGTGTAATCCCCTTCTCTTTACCTCTTCCGAGTGCGTAAAGCCCTTTAAGCTCGCGCCGAGTAAACAGGAAGTCGCTGGTTCGCCTCTTTCCTCCTCTGTCGCATTTCCCCCTCCGATCTGCAGGTTACAGATGATGCGTTGTAGAGAGAGGCACCTGCGGCGAGTGCGGTTTGTACGGATTTAACATGGTTACTACTTCGAGAGTCCCGTGTACGCTCGATGTAATTGCTGAATTCACGGGTGGTTTTTTTTTTTTTTTTTATCGTCATTAGCGCATCTCGCGAGTTTTTTGCTTTTCGCGTGAAAATGAGTTTTTGATGACACGCGGTGGTTTTTAATTCACGATGCGCAAGCAATAATGAGGTGTTAGGTGCTATTAGCGATAGAAGGCAGGACACACGAACGAATAATCCGAATAATAATAATAATTAATTTTAATTTGATTACAGGCTGCGATACTCCAACAGACTGCCGAATACATCTATCAATTGGAACAGGAGAAAACGCAACTATTGTCACAGAACTGTCAGTTGAAGAGATTGGTAAACCAACACGAAGGTGGTGATGTACCTATCAAGAAGCGCAAGGCCGACACTCAAGGTATACCCGTTCATTTTTCTTTATTTATATTGTTTACAATAATAATAATAATTGTTAATATTTGTCATTTTTATACAATATGTTTATTAAAAAGGATCGGAGGTTTCCCGTTTTTTTTTTGTTTGTTTTTTTTATTTTTTTATTTGATGGATTAAAAGATCTGGGAGCGCTCAAAAATGGAATTGATTTGAAAACAATCATCATGAATATTGCAAGTGAGGCGTACCGTAAAAAATACACGGCGCTGATGCAAACACGTATCAATAAAAAATATCATTGCGCAAACATTTGTATACGTAAAACAATCAATAGATTTGGCGCGCGCATTGCTCGTCGCATAACGAGATTTTCCGAGAGGGCTTGAATTATTTATCGCCGCGGTGCTGCCGCACCGATTGTGCCGCACCGCGCGGATTTTCGGGTTCATGGGAGCAAAAAGCGCGGAAACAATCGGAGCAAAGCGCGAAAAGTTATGGGGAATATACATTGCAATCCGCTTATTTCACGGTTTGCGTTCACGCGACGCGCGTAACGTCGAAGTTTTCATCACGTCATTTTTTTCAATCGCAAAATTGAATTATGCAGACATTTCCGTACATTCGCGCGAACAAATAGGAAAAAAAAAAAAATATCCCACCGTTTGATGTAATTTTGTAAATTTTTATTTGCGCACGCGGCAAAAATGTACATAAAAGAGAGTTTCATTATACATATGTATGTACAAAAATCACCAACGGTCTTTTATATTCAATTTACACGATTGCCAAGTAATTGCATCACAGCTGATCATATTTTGCCGGCGAGAATGACAAATTTGGCAAGCAGGAATTTTTTAATTTCACTTCTCAGAGCGGACGTAGTCCGCCGATGCACAGACGCATTTGAGGGAGTCGTTCGTAATTTTCGCGAAAGTAATTACATTCTTCGCGAGTGAGGTACCACGACGAACCGATATATATATATATGTATATACATATACATGCAGACTATTTCAGGAGAAAAGATTCAAGTAATATAGAAGCGATGAAATATGTATATATATCTTTCTTATTCAGTCGATAAAAGTCTAATTTACTGAAACGTCTTAATTTAATTGTCACATCGCCGTGGAAGAAAGTGTATTGAAAAATGGCGCGATGTGTATTCTGCAAGTTTCACTTCAAAAACAAATAGAAAAAATGGAATCAATATTGAAACCGGATCTTTCAAGCGATATTAAAATTTTTGTTTTAACGCAAATTCGTGACACTCGTGATTGATCGTTAAATGTTGAAAGATGAGAGAGAGAGAGAGAGAGAAAGAGAGAAAGACTATCGGAAAGATTAAACTTCTCGAGTTTATATCGGTTTTCTTCCTGAGAAACGGGAACGAGGTAGATAAAACGGGATCGTCCTCTCGACTGTGTTCGTTCTCGAAAATCGTTATTACTTCAAGGGCTAAATACAACGGGCGGATTAAGGAGTGCTCTTCTCTTTCGACGCCGATGGCGTTTCGCCGGCGACGTCGTCGTCGTCGTCGTCGTCGTCGCGGCGCGATCTGCCCGCCGGAAAGTATCTGTCGCGAACTTCGGGGCCGAGACAATTTCAATTTCCGGTCCTATCGTAAATTAGTTTCCTCCGTCGATGGTATGGCGATATTCAGAAAGTTCGTCGTCGGCTGTGCGACGAAGCGGATTTAATGCCGGCGAACCACTTTTATCGATCAATCGCGGTTAACCTACCGATTGACTTCAAATACTGGTCTCAACATTTACGATTATTGCCCGAGCGACGGAATACCTATCCTATTTCTCATAATCGATTTCATACAGAGAGAGAAAAAGACTAATTTGTTCCCTTCAGGAGATACATTGAATACAGAAATACATCTCGCCAATTTCCTTAGTGAAAAAAAAAAATCGTCACGTGTAACGTATAAATTTATATTCTTTTTTTTTTTTTTTTTTTTTTTTTAATCTTTGTGAAACAATGGTCTGAAACATGAGAACTGACGTCGCGAAACAATCTCATTGACAATAATAATCGATAATCAGAACCGTTACCGTGGAAATTAACGCGGGAGCGTTAATTAATAAATGGTCGATTGATTGAAAATGTTCGCAAGAACGGCGCACAATTGGCCGCTGCGCGCGCGTTACCGCGTCATAATTCGCCATAATGTTCCGTGGATGTCAAACAATGCGCAAATAAAGTACCCATCCATGTAGACGTATGTAAACATTACATTCACTTTGCTTTAATATAACGTCGAAACAAACGAACTGGCCTTTGATCCCCGTCAAGTGTAATGGCCCTCTATATTTGTTCTACATTGCAAACAGCGACCACACATACGCGCGCGCGCGTACACACACACAGATTTAATTTCGCTTCGCGGCCCCGCAATCATTTATATCGCATGGATGTGCGCACCGCATATACCGGAAAGCCGAAATACATTCCGAAACTTCATTGCGGTTTATTCACCAACTGTAATCCGAATTTCTTGCGCTTTCCCCAGAATTACTTCTACCGAGAAAGAGAGAGAGAGGAGGAGAGATAGATAGATAGATAGAGAGAGAGAAAGTAAAAACCCTGGAAAAGTGTTTCCACGTTATGCGTGTCGATTTAATCTTAATTTTTAATCAGGATGAGCGCGGAGGATGGGATCCTTCCCAATTAGAGACAGAGGGAGAGCAATCTCCGACGTTCGGAGACAAACGAGCAAAAAGGATTCTCTCGAGGCGTTTGGAATTTACCATTAACTTCAGAGCACTCGTTCGGCGAGCTCGAAAATTTATCTCTCTTCACACGGGGGGAGGGGGGAAGGATACTCGGATTTAATTTTTCCTGCATTCGGCTTCTTTTTTTTTCAGGTGTCGTCGTTAGTCTACCGATGCACGTCAGCGAGAGCGGCGATGAGGGCTTGGGCAGTATGTCCCCCGAGCCGTTGTCGGTAATCACAGTGACCACAGAGGGACATTCCGTTGTGAACAGCGAGGTGGTGGAGCTCAGGCGACAGCTAGAGAGAGAACGTCACGCGAGACTGCATTTAGAGAAACAAATGAGAGCAATTCAGAGCCAGTTGTATCCTGACAGATTCCGGGACAATCAGCTAATCGCTTATCAGCCCCACGAGGTAACGATTTGGCATTGCTCTCCTACACTCGTTGATCTTTCGAGGATCGGAATAAAAAGCCGGCCGATATGTAAAAAAAAAATATATATATATTGTTACGCGGGGGACACCGCGTATGTGTCGCGGGAGCCGCCTGAACGGCGTGCGCTCGGCGCGACTGTTCGTTGCCGGGCAACCAGCGAGTTGTTGTATTTGAGAGTCGCGAGATCTGTCACGTTGCGTTTTCGGACGGCTCGTCC